TACATATGACAGATATGACTGATGATACTTACTGATCTCTGGTCAGGTTCAGGTGACGAGCCCTTCTCTGCGATTCTTCTCCTGTAGGACATAAAGACCAGATACAGTGACTTCATGCTGAATAACAAGTTGCGTTTTTTGACATTAGTATCATCGACCACAGCTCAAACCCTTTTTCAGTAAAGCCTTCAGTTCAGATCTACCTTAATTTCACAGTTTCTTTGACTGCTATAAAATACAGTTTGAATATGATTTTACTACAGATAAACTCAGAATAAATACATTTAATAAAAAAATAAGAACCACAGAATGTTTATTTCACATTCTGCAATAGGAAACAAGATCTTGAATTCATCAGAAACAGCATATGTGCCAAGACTGAGATATAATGGGGCTAACGATGACATGTGATGTGACTTTACCTCCTGGCCAACAGGGCGCTCATCTCCTCCATCAGCCCTCCTCCTCCGGGCAAAGGGCCGTTGCCCCTGGCTTCAGATTTGGCCCCTCCGGCCCCCAACATGGCTGCTGCCAGAGCTGCCCCTGCATCATCACTCTGAAGGGAAACAAGCAACAACACTTATTAAACACAAATGTAACAAGTTCTTTACAATCAGAGTGATGTATTAACCTGACTTTGAGAGCTGCAAAAGAACTAAAACTATTATAACTAAACTATTCTATATCAGAAAATCCAAAAATACTGAAACATGCTAAATGTTTTCCATCCAATTCCTAGCTGAGTTCTATGTTTTGTCATGTTATACACACAGGCAGACATGCAGTGTTTTGCATGAAGGCGGTCAGCGTTACATATAAACCTCCTCTGAGGCTGAGATGAGATGTGACAGATGGTGACTATGTGTGTGTGTGTGTGTGTGTGTGTGTGTGTGTGTGTGTGTGTGTCTGATTGTGTGTGCATGAGTGCCTCAGTGACAGTGATTCTGTGTGATTATGTATGAAAATAATGTGTGAGGGCTGTGTGTGTATTAACAGTGTTTCTGTCAAGTCAGAGTTGCACTGAAAACAAAGGACACAAAGACTGACAGAGAAACAGCATTCTGTGTGTGCAACTTGTCACTTACTTTTACACACAATCTTCATTTTCGTATTTGCTATATTTTATATTTTATTTTATGTATGTCCTTCCATCTTATCGTACATCATACGTCACTGTCTTATCTTATCTTGCTTTATCTTATTTACTCTTTATTACTACTTGTGCTGTTATTACTCAGCTGACCCGTTCCCTCGTCCAATACATGTCATTGTGCTATTGTCCCTGATTCTGAAACCTGAAACACGTGCAGCTATCACTTTAATATCTATGTACTGTCACTTGCATGGTACAGATGTGGCTTGTCAAGCCCTCCATTGATCACACAACCAATCAAGCGCTCACCCTTGGCACTTTGCGCAGCTTGGCTCCGGCGAGGGCAGCGGCCAGGCCTGAGGTGGGACGGTCCTCGGCAGGAGAGAAGAGTCCGGCGGGAAGGGGAGGCGCTGGGGGAGGGAGGGGGGCTCCGGGAGGAGGGGGCGGACCTGGTGGAGGAGGGGGGGTCCCGCCTGGAGTCAGCGTAGGAGGGAGAGGAGGAGGTGGGGGTGGGGGAGGGTGGCCGGCTGGGGTAGAGGGGGTGGCAGCCGGGGTGGCAGCCGCGGAGGTCACAGTGGAACCGGGTGGCAGGGGTGGAGGTGGGGGAGGGGTCGGGGTGGTCAAGCCCGGGGTCTGCACCACGTCTGCGGAGGGGAGGGGAGAGGGGGTGGGGGATGGGCGGAGACACAGGAATAGAAAAATTAAGTTTAAACTGTCAGTTTTAAGTAAAGCGTTGCTACTCATTGTACATCTCTGCTGAGGGAAATGCTTTCAGACTGGATTAATCCATGACTGTGAAACTAGCTCACTTACTTTGCATATATGTACAGAATTTACTTCAGCATATTCTGATTTCCCTTTTAGAAAATAATGCATCTTTCATATTTCTCTGTCTACACCTGTCAAATACACATTTACCAAACCTGTAATGTTCTACTGTATTATTGCAGTACTAGATAAACCTGTCAAAATACATTACACAGTGTTTCAGCCTTCATAAGTCTTTACATCAACAGGGTACACCAGTGTCATTCAGTTTGTAGTGCAGTAACGGTGGATGTAATTTTCTAATGAACATGAATACACACATCAGGTATGACAGCATGCCGCATTATAACATAGCGAAGTTTATTTAATGAACATGCACTGTTAGTGAGAAGTAGTGTCAGGGTTTAGAATGAGTACTAGGGTTGGGCAACATGACAAATTGGTACATCGAAATAGTGACAATGAATGTCAATATATTGATTGCCCAACTCAATCTGGAAGATATACATTCCAATAAATGGAGCCAAGACAAAGCGATCAACACTGAGCATGAAATCAATGAAACACACTGTTTGGAGCAATGACACATACACACACACACGCGCACACACACTCATAAGGACACATAATGACCAAAAGAAACACAGGAACTATGGCAGCAGTCATATGTAGGTCAATACCGTCTGCCCAAATAAGAGAGAATTCATAGATTGCTTAAAAGATGATACATTCATAATCTGATACATGTGAACTGAGTTTTATCCATTTTAAACAACCAGATGTTTATTTAGTAATTATAAGAATTAATAAGAATTATTTTGCTCCCAGTTCTCATCACTGACCGCAATTGGATCTATGATGAAATGTGAACACACTGAGTGGTGATCAATATTAAACCAGCAGTCCAGTCCCTTCAAGCCAATCAGTTTGATGATGTCTGAGGTCAAAGGTCATTAGAACAGCCCCCGAGGCTAATAAGAGAAATGCCAAGGGTCACTGGAGCATTGGTGTTTTTACATATAAATGTTGCTTGTCTGATTATTCATTTCAAGACAAATTTAAAGTTTCTTATCACATAAATATTCATGAAAGAAATTAAAATGAATTCAAAAAGAAAGCTATTACAGTGAATATTAGGACTGGGCAATGTATCAATAATATATCGATATTGTGTTATTTATCGTCTTAGATTTTGGTTATCGTAATATTTTAAGTGTTTAAAGGCAGCATTACAGTATAGTCATATAGTATATGCACATTGCTGATGAGTATTTATCAAAAATCTCAATGTAAAAATTTTGTGAAAGCACCAACAGTCAATCCTACAATATGGTCACATTATCAGCACTGAGGTACCTGTTTAAAAACATTGTGAAATTGGATTTTCTCCATATTGCCCAGCCATTTTGAATATTTAATTTGGTAGATGAAACCAATAAGCACAAGATTTGCTCAAGTTTAGTGTCTCAGGGGCAAGCTTGATGTTCCCCTTCCTGTGACATGTCGTAGGACAGCCAGTGATCTACTGGTGTCTCAATAAGAGAGAGAATCCTGTTGTGACTTGATACAATAAGTTAGACTGTATTTAGTTAGACTGCACATTGACTGAAGGAAATGCAAAGTCAAATGAGGGAAAACCAAATGGCAAAAATCATAAAATCAACACAGAGGTGATAAAAATTCAGAACTATGACTGAGAAATGAACTGACAAAAGAAAAACACATTAACCAGGAGATGACAAAGGCTGTGGTTTTATGCAGACTTCAGTCAGTGATCTGTATCCATGAAGTAATAATAGATCACTATCATACAGATAGACATGCCATGCTGAAAAACCACACATACGTCATATCCAATGAACAGTCAGACAGACACATGGACATACATGCAGTTTATGAGTCTGACAGAGAAATTAGACAGGCCTGAGCAACAGTAACTTCTACACCAGGAGATCCCACAACAGTCACCACAGCAGCTGTTTGAATGTCAGAAACTACAGCCAGGGTTGTTGAGGAGGAGTCAGACCCGACACTTTCCCCTCTGATATCAGCCTGTATTACGGGGCTCACTTTGTGCTGTGGCCAGCTCAGTGGCACGGTAACAGATCCAACCGTGTTCAGTAGCCCCCCTGTTAGTGTGTGAGTCACATAGCAGTGAGAGACAGAGAGGGGAGAGAGGTAGTGAGAGAGAGAGAAAAGAGTCTGGACTGGAGGCCTTACCCTGGGACTGACAGGAGAAGCCCCCCTGAGGAAGGTGGGTCTCTGGGCCTGTAGCGGTGTCCGGCTCCCCCGGCCCCGACAGGCCCAGGCCCACGGGGAGGGAGAGGTGCTCAGCAGAGGCAGAGGTGGCGGCGGCTGCGGCAGCAGGGGGTGCTGTGGAGGGAGAGGGCACACCAGGAGCCTGGGATGAGGAGGGGGGAGACGAGACGAAGGAGGAAGACGGAAGGGGAGCTATGGGGGAGGGGAGAGGGGGTGGGGTGGGTGGGGGAGGCGGGGTGGGGCAAGCGATGCCGATAGGGGTGTGGCTGTGCGGGATGGTCACAGGAGAAGGTGCGGGGAACATGGGTGGGCCGTTAGGGGCCGGTGAGGGGGGCTTCTGGGTGAGAGGAGAAGGTGCTGCGATCGGGATGAGCGGCCGTGGACCTGCAGCCTTCCCCGGGGGGCTGCTTATCATGACAGGGGGCGAGGGGGGCAAGGGAGTGAAGTTGCAAGTTGACCAAACGACAGACTTTGGTGGAGGAGGCGGGGCAGGGGCAGGGGCCGGAGCAGGAGGCGGGGCTTGGGGGAACGCTTGCTGTCGCCTCGGGACCGTGGCGTAGTGAGGCAGGACTGGGTGGAAGGCAGAACCGAGCGAGGTGGCGAATCGGGAGGCCGAATGCCTTAGAGGTGGGGTTGGTGGAGTTGTGGAGGAGGGTGACGGCGTCCCAGGTGCTGGATAAGTGGGCGTGGATGGGGATACGGGCGTGGAGGACGTCCTGCTGTACTCCTGAGGCGTGGGAGTGTACAGGGTGCTTTCAAAAGCTAAATGTATGCCACGCGAATGGAGAAACCAATCAAAGACAAGACAGGACAGAAGGGAAGGAGTGACGGAAGGAAGGAAGGAAAGAAGGTAGGAAGGAAGCAGCCGTCATGCATACAGGAGGGAAAGACAGCAGGTCAGGAGAGAGAGAAGGAAGGAGGGAGGGAGGGAGGAAAAAAGAGAAGGGGGCAGATGAAGCAGGAAAAACCAGCACAGAGCTATACCAAAGTTTTATTCCAGGTTGTGTGTATTGTCTCGGGTTGAGGTGATGCTACTGTGTTAGTGGACAGGTGTTAGCACTGTGGACAGAGCCAGAGACACAAAGCCTGTTTGCAGGAGAAGAGGGGAAACTGAGGAGCAAGAGTTTACCATGTAGCACACAACCATAGAATAGTGACCAAGTAGATGCAACTTATCACCAATGACATCAAGCTTGTCCAATCAGCACTAAGACACTAAGTCACATACAGATTTAAACAAATGTACCCAAAGGCCCAACACGCACCACTTCATATAACACTCATCAAAATAAAGTAAGCCAACAACAAGTGGAACAGAATAACTCTGGAACCAATATCACATCCAACAATCAAAACAAATACTGCAAGTAAATTCAGTGGAGCATGTGCGTGTCTACCTGGTCTATGTGCCACCTATGTCTATGTGTGTGTTCTCATGCTCACATGTACATTATCATACAACATGTGTAAACCTGGTTTGTGGCAGAATATTGTTGAAAACTGTGACATCAACTGTAATTAAGAGGACTATGAATTCATAAATAGATGTCTTTCAACCAATCAGATTGTTGTCGGTACCCTGACAGCTTGCAATTAGCAACTCATCTTTGACCTTTGTAGGCTCTACTTTTACACTGTCAGTTTGATTGTGACCGCAGAGGTGGTCTTATTTGCAATGAGAATAAGAATAGAGTTCCAAAAGACTAGGGGACACTCCAAAACACACTCAAAACATGAATTTAATGTTAATGAAACACATTAACTTCTAGTTTAGACTACAGAACTGTTCTGGTGAACTCTGCATCCTTCTGAGTAAAGTCATCAGCTTTCCAATCTCCCATTAGTTCCTCATTATTCCAGGGCAAGCTGATGCAAATCCATTTAAACAAACTACTTTTTTTTTCCTCCATTTTTAGACATGCTATTGCAGCAGCACAACTCTAGAGATGGCAATGTGGGTCTTTCTGTCAGTCTATCACATTGGTCCAGACTCAAATCACTTAACATCTACTTTATGGATTGCCATGATATTCTGAGAGGAGGAATCCCATAAAATTAGGTGATCCCCGTCTCTCGTGTCATCATCAGGTCAGAATTAAAATGTGTTCAATTCCTATGACCCAAAACTACAGACGGTCCCATCAGCCTCAGCTATACTTTGCATTTAGTGCAAATGGGAGAAGTTTGACCAGAGGGCTTCAGTTTATTCATTTTAACCTAAAATAGGCTTTTTCCCCTTACCCTTTGCCAAGAAATCCCTTTTTTGGCAGAAAGCCCCCTAGGCAAACTTTTCTCAACAGCATGTTTGGTGCTAATTAGCAAATGTTAGCATACTACAACTCTCAACTATGACTGTTAATCTGGCAAGCATTATCACTGCTTAATTTCAGCATGTTAGCATACTGACATTAGCATTTAGCTCGCAGCATTGCTGTGCCTGAGTACAAAAAGAACCACCAGCATGCCTGCAGACTCCTAGTGCTATTTTAGAAATGCTGCCATATTTTTTAAGTGAGGATGATGTTCTAGGTGCTGTGAACCCTTTTCACTTATTCATACTGTTACTTTGTGTAATGTCACTCTTTTAGCAATCTCAGTTAAAAGAAAGAGATCACTCCTGTTCAAATGAGGTCCTCCAACCCATACGATCACATAATTAGTTTGTTCTCATCCTCTAATGTGACCCACAGGAGTGCTTCATAAATGACTGCTACTACTGGTGGCAAACAACAGAACAGCTTGTATATGAAGGTTCAGGGTCGCAGTTTTAAACACGTAGGTAACCTGAAACAATTGTAGTTGCACCAAAACTATGTTGTTAGGCTTAGACAAAAATTTGTGGTTCGGGTTTAAATAAATACATTCTCACTAACATAACATAACATGAAATATGTCACATGACAAACTATATTACTGGTTTAAATAACTCAACATTGATGTTTGGTTTCACACAGGACACAAATACCTGTCTCCTGGGTGAAAGTCCTGTGTCTGGTTAACCCATCCGTCTACCTCAACTTTGTCGCCCTTTATCCTACATCACCTGACTTCCTGCTTTGCTCCTGTGATAGCTACTGGGGCCACTAGAGGTAGATGCCTAACAATAAATGTAGGTTGTAATAAGCTGCTTATAAAAACAACCTATGGGACAGTCTTGTCTTTCCCTGCGAAGTGAATGTCCTCTTTGCTTTATCTTTTTCTATGCATTTCCAGTACAGTGAGTAGTGTTGGGCTATATTTTATTACATTTTATTATGTGCCATTCACTTTTATAATCACACTACACCCATCTCTTTACTTTACAGGTCTTAATGGTATTTTATAACTTATTGTATACTTTTATATGGAGTTTATATGGAATGAGTGGGAGGACTTACTGTCACATACCATTTAAATGTGGTGATTCTGCCTTAAATCCCTCCTCTGTTTCACTATGTGTCTATCCCAGCTGAGCCAAGCTCTCTCCAACTAATTACCTTGATTGTGTTTGTTTATGTGATCCTCTAGCGCTTAGCGTAACCTTGACAGTGTTATATGGAGCTGCCATATGTTTTCTGTGTGTGTGGGGATGGTGTAAAGTTGTTAATCCACTATTCACCTTCTGCTCTACTTCCTCTTACGAGTGATGTCATTCTACACTTTCCTGCAGTGCTTATTCTTGTTATTGGAATGAAATTTGTTGTTTAGGGTTGATATGTGTTACTTTTTGCATTGGAGAGTAAGCCATAACACTGGCATAATATTCATGTTTCTGTCTCATACTTTATGTTCTGAGGGTTTTTTTTAATGGGCTGCTGGAAGTCGCAGACATATGTCCATTCCACTCATGTTCCCTTACCTGACACATTTACTCACAGACATGGTTCAAATTTACACATACATATGCATGCATAATCAGACATGACACACACCTTCTCTCTCACATACACACCACAACACTAACCTGACTGTTGGGTCAGACACACACACACACACACACACACACACACACACACACACACACACACACAGCAGGACCAGGAGTGGAATTCACGTGAACACCTAACCAGCAGTCACAAGACAGATAACCTGATGGATTCGTGAGACTGCCTGGCTCTTTTCCAACTCCTCCTCCTCTGTGTGACTTCTGTTCCTCCCAGCTGAGCGGTCTGACAGCTCATACTGCATTTACCATTTATCCTCTCTAACTGGAGTCAATGCTCATCCCGACTTCCACTCCACTACACACACAAGTTCTCTCTTACATCTCTTTTTCATTAAACCTGAATTACTCTTTGCGCTTTACTTCTTCCTCTGGCCAACTTTAACCTCTTCACACCACTACACTATACTATACTATCATCTTCATTTTCTCTCTGATCGTCTTCTTCTTTCACTAAACTTTGACCTTTTCCACATTTTGTCATCATTCCACCACCCCCTCTTCTTTCATTCTCCCCCTCTGTCTCTCTGTAGCTCTGGGCGGGTCATGTGACTCAGAGGCCCCAGCTTTGCTCTGCCATTCCACAACAATCATCACACGATCAGAACACACTGATTTCACGCAGCGCTGGCCACGTGCATACAGGAATATTAAGCGCACATGCACACACATGAGAGGACAACAAAGCCATACCGCAGCCAAGCTCCTCTGCAGCAAACCAACTTCAGTGACAACTTCAACATAAAAAAGCAGTAACAGCAAAAGAAGCAGTAGATCCACCAGACCACCTTAAAAAAATCAGTTTTCAAAAATCTAACCAAGCCAATTAATTGCTGCGAAACACTTAAACAATGGTGATATTTGAAATACACACTCCTGTGCAGGTGTGTGTGTGTAACACAAGAGATGCAAGACATTATTTATCATGATGATGGGCCCAAACCACACACACACAGTCACTGAGTAAGGCAGATGACGCCTTCACATTTCGAATTTCACTGTTTTTGTCACTGAGTGAGAAACGTGTCCAGCATGTCACTTTTTTCCTCTCAGTAACAGTGAACATATTCAGTATGTGTAGCCATACTCCACTGTGTTTCTAATTAAACAATGCTAAGTAGTTATTTCAGCCAACCGAAGCACCAAATAAGAACGATTCAACAGGACCATTAGGAAAAAGTGAACAACTATACAAGAAATTGCAAAAACTACATAATAAAGAGCCCAGAATAATGAAAGTGAGAGTGGTCGTAACAATTCAGCTACTCTATGGTAGTGATTACATGACAATCATTCAAGGACAATTTGTCTGTTAACAGTTCAGTCAGTGTTTCCCACAGAATTAGATCCTATTTGTGTGGGGTGAGGGGTTGGGGGAACAGGTAGCCTCTGTAGCAATTCAAACTCGGCATTCTACCAGCATAAACCCCAGCACTGGATCAGCAAACTTTCTTTTGCTGCTGTAATGGGCGTAGCCACTGTGACATCACTCACTGGTTTGTGGAATCCCATCTTGACATCTCGAGTTTGGCATTTTGGCCATCGCCATCTTGGACTATTTGACCCAGAAGTGACCATATTTAGATGAGAAGCTGGCGCTGTGGAGGAGCGAGGGGTGGATCTGACTGAGAAGCCAAGGACAGTATCGCCAGACAGCCTGTCACTGTAAGTGGTCCGCCCTTAAATGTGCGTAACTTAAACCCTTAATAAAATGAAATCGGGTAAGTTACAAAAAATGAACCCCCCCATACAGCTGTCATGAAAAGGGAAAATAGCTATAAAGAGCAAAATTATTTTTTGTACCAGCCTATAAACACGTTTATTTCTGCTGTAAAGTTGGGCATTACAATATTGCGGCCCATGGGTATTGACTGGCTTCGCAGGCGAGCCTCAAGTGGCCAATAAAGGAACTGCAGTTTTTGGCACTTCCACGTTTGCTTCATTTTTCAGCCCCGGAGGGGGGCCACTTGGTTAGATGGTTAGGTTTGCACTGGCTGAATTCGAGTTGCTCCAGGGGCTAACTGAAGGTCTGTCTCTCCTCCTTGCAAAATTGTCTCCTGGTGGTGGGGAGTGAGACAGAGTGACCATGGGATTTGCTAAGGTTAGCTAGCTAATTCTTGTCTCATTTATGGTCTGATAAGCAGAGAGAGACAACTTAGCAAGAAGGGGCTGAGTGAATCAATACAATGTACACAGCTCTAACATGAAATAGGCTTTTACCTATTATAAATATATATATATGTATAAAAAGAAAACCAATAAGCATCGATCAATGTTGATGTTGCGGGGAACGCCACAAAAAAAATAAATTTATGGGAAACACTGCACTGATGCACTGGACTCCTTGACTCTTACAAAGATACACACAGTTATCCTGTAAGAAAGAAACAGCGCTATTAAGCGTTAAATGTTAAATCACAAGCTCACATCAAACCCAACACACACACGCACGTTCAAACAGTACGTGTGTGTATGTGTGATCCAGTGATCCAGTTTGTTCTGTGTGTGTTATTGTGTATGACAAGTGAAATAACTCCTCCCTCTTATCCTGGGGCATATTCACACACACACACACGCACGGACACACGCACGGACACACACACACACACACACACGCACGGACACACACACACACACACACACGCACGGACACACACACACACACACACACACACACACACACATATCCCTGGGGGTCTCACCAGCATTCTCCCTGATGATGTATTTTTAGCCTCTGAGTAACACTACTGAACTGTGTCTGCCTGCTTGTGTGTGTGTGTGTGTGTGTGTGTGTGTGTGTGTGTGTGTGTGTGTGTGTTTATGCATGCGTATGTTAATAGGCCGAGCATGGCACTGAAGCGTGCCACACAACGCTGCCTTCCCTACTGACCCAGTGCTTTAAAGCAGCAAAGTTCCCTTCCTATCACAAGACCAAACCCTGTTCCATTAAAGCTCCACTTTATAATCACTGTGTTCCACCTGTGGCTCCATCTTGTCCCTGCTGCTGGATTTAAGTCTAACTACACTGGACTGAAAATATTTTTAAGCTTTTTAATCTCTAAGCTTCAGCTATACTAAGTCCACTGGGAGATAATTATCAAAGTTAATAAACTGGGTATTTCCAGGAAGGATTTGCAGAGATCATAATTTCCAATGCCAAGGTGTAAAAAATATAAACCCACGATTACATCTTCATTTTGGATGTGTGTTTGAAGTGTCCGAAGTTATGTGTGTGACTGGTGTAAGGACTGGAGGCAATGTTTCAAAAATAATTCACTCACCCCTGAACGCATGTGCAAAGACTATTCACCCCCCAATGCCCCAGTGCTTTAGCAATCTGTTCATAGCGCCTGTCCAGCCTATGGGCAGATGAGCAGAGTGTGGGCCATACTGTAGCACTAATAGAGGAAGCTAACAAAGCTAGCACTGACTGGTAAATGTAAAACAGATGGAGAGCTGCTCTCCACTCAGAAGGTATTCACTTCCCAAGACCGACGTCTAGAGGATTTTAGGACTGTCTCTTTATTGGAGGCATGTTCATCTACAGCTTTAAAGTTTCACTAGTCCATGTGAAATGAAACCAGCTTCATTAGCTACGCTAGGAAATGGACAAGGATTAAATTAAAACAAAGGACTGCTAAGAAATTGGCATCACAACATTTATATCATGTTTAAGTTTACCTTGCTATATCCCAAATCCACAATACACACATAATAAATCTAAATAGGTTTTAAGTATGTTCACAGTCCAAAGTGGAGGAGACAGTATCAAAAATACAAAAATTATAACCCAATCATCAGGAAAAAAAATGTTTCCACTGGATGTTTCTGCAAACCACAGATACATTACACTTGTAGGTTTTTTTTGTAGTGGGTACATTAAAACTTCAGGTTTCTCAATGACACTGAGGTGAAGTTTAGGTGTGATCAGGTTTAGGCACAACAGCCACCTAGTGTAGGAAAAGGTCATGTTTTGGCTTGAAACAGCCACATTTGGTGGCACAAAAGCCGCTGGAAAAGCTGGGATGGGACAGTGAGAAACACCCGGGTCCAGTGGCTCAAACGCTGCTGGGAAATGCAGCGATGTGACGGTGAAAATCACCCAGGTTGAGTGCCACAACTGTGCTAGGGATACATGCTATTCTCCCACAATGCAATGCACAAAGGGAATAGGAGAGCTGCTTAATTTGAAAGCCATCTGTGGATGATGGTAAAACATCTTTGTGTCAGCACAGCAGAAAACATAATCAATCTATTACATCATGGGAAAAACATTTTGATGTCTATTTGAGAAATTTAATTGGTCATGTCATTCAAGTTACTGTTTGATTGACATGCACTGCTGTGTGTATATTATCATTTCCTGTCAGTATAAGATTTATTTAATGTAAAGTGGATAAACAGTATACTAAGACTGATATATACTAATTCATGTGTTTTATGTATGATTAAGTGTGTCCTATATACAGGTAGGATGCAGTATGGAATTGGGACACGCTGAAATTCAACTCAGTCCAGGTTTGGCATCACAGTTTTTATACAAGTTTAATACAACAAACCACCTCCTTTCAAAAACTAACTCTAAAAGCTCCTCATGAAAATATTCTGCTGACAATCTGCCCTTGCCACGTTCTCTTCTTGTAGGACCCCACACCAAACACACATAAGAAAACTCTGACAGCCTGCACTGATCTGATGTTCAGCGTAAACATTCACATTGTAACATACTGTAAAACACTAAAACGATGCACATCTTCAGTCTGAGAGTCTCAATATTGGCCCTCAAAAACTCAGTGTGTTTGCATGTATGTGTAAAAGAAAGAAACCAAAGTGCATCACTCACCGGCGTTGGAGATGCGTCTCCCTCTCTCCCAGTCCTGCTGCTCTCTGTCCAACTGCTCCTGCTGCTCCCTCTCTGTCTTCTCCCTCTCCATCAGCTCACGCTCGCTGCGCTCCTGCTGCTCCTGGCGCTCCCTCTCCGCCTGTGCCTCCCTCTCCTGACGCTCCCGTTCCTGACGTTCGCGCTCCTGCCGCTCGCGCTCCAGCATCTCTCGCTCCAGGCGCTCCCGCTCCTGACGCTCCTTCTCTTGACGCTCCCTGTCTTGACGTTCCCTCTCTTGACGCTCCCGCTCCTGACGCTCTCGCTCCTGATGCTCCCGTTCCATCTCCTTCTGCCTCTGCAGCTCCTGAAGCTGCCTGGAGGAGGAGAGCAGAGGAAACAAGAGAGGAGAGGAAACAGGACAGGAGAAGAGAGGAGATAGGACAGCAGAGGAAACAGGAGAGGAAAGGAGGAGAGAGGAGAGGAGAGAGAAAAAGAAAGGAGAAGGGAGAGGAGAGGAAACAGGAAAGGAGAGGCGAGGAGAGGAGAGGAGAGGAAACAGAAGAGGGGAGGAGACAGGAGGGGAAAGGAGGAGAAAGGAGTGGAGAGGAGACAGAAAGGAAACAGGAGAGGAGAGGAGGAGAAGGGAGAGGTGAAAGGGAGAAGAGAGAGGAGAAGAGGGGAGAGAAAACAGGAGTGGAGAGGAGACAGGACAGGGAAGGAAACAGGAGAGAAGCGACAGGAGAAGAGAGGAGATGGGAGAGGGGAAGGAAACAGGAGGGAGGAGAAAAGGAGAGGAGACATTAATGCAAAATCATTATTTTACTTATGATCTTTTTAAAATACTTCAACCACCAATGCTTGAAAAAGATTAAGTGTAAGATAAAAGAGGGATTGATGTGGAGAAAATATTTGAATGAATACAAGCAGTAAATTAGTGTGGTGCGTGTCTTGACCACCCTCTGACCCACAGGCAATTACTGTTGTCATTATATAAGTTAAAGCTATTTTGGGCGCATCAAAAACACAGTGAGGACTGCCTGTGGTGAAAAGACTCCCTTGGCTGCACACTGCTGAGAAGAGCCAACAGTCTGTCTGACAGACGAGATAGGAGAAAAAAAAGCGGCTTAATAAATTGATCCCTCTTTTTCTTTTTGGATGCAAAATCATTACACGTGATGTTAATGATCCTGGAGTATGGTGTGTTCAGGAAGCCTTTCCCGGAGATATTAAACGCACACTGTGCCTGCAGAGCCAGGTTTAATCACTAGGTGTCAGCAGAAGGCAGCAGTAGAGGGACCTGTGCATGTGCAGCAGCGGTGGATGGAAACAAGAATGGACCATGTAAGCAGAGTGTGTGAGAGTGTGTGTGTGTGTGGGTATGCATGCATGTGAAAATGGCAAAGTGTGTCAGAGAAAAGCAGCCATTTCCCATTTACTATATCTGACATTTGATGAAAGAACTATAGCGATCCCTGCGGGGAAACTGGTTGTTGTTTGTACACGAATATCAAATACGAACAAGACATAAAGGACAACTGCCACCAGAGGTTATATAGACTACACCATGGAGAGAGTGACTGAGTGAATACATGTTCTTCATTTAAAACATGAAATTAACATCAGAATAAAATACTCAAGACACCGAAAAAAACAGCATATATACAGGGTGTGTAAAAAACATACTGTACGATACTCACAGTAACAGGTACACAAGTGTCTTGTAGATGTATAAATGGAAAGCTACGTAATCCGCCCTTCATCACAACAACTGACAGGTAGTGTGAAGGATTTTTATGAACGAATAAATTGTACAGAGAGGGTGTGTGTTGGTATGAAATGGGGGGAATATGAGAGAGAGCTAAGATGTGAGGGGGAGAGCAGATGCAAACTGTGGGAGGTTGTCATCTGTCAGGTTCTCACACACACACTCACACACACACGGTTCCCAGCAAATCTGTCATTTCATTGGAAAGACTCAACCGTCTTGTCACATTCTATGATTTACTTGGTCATAAATCACATTGGCTGTAAATGAACGAGTGTTACATTCATAAATTACACAAGCAGGGAGGGAGATGGTGGGAAATGGAGCTAAATGCCAACATGCACTTTCTCTTTCTGACACACACACAAATACACACACGCACACCAGGTCGTCTGCCCTCACTCATCCTGTTCTGTTGACAGTTGACTCACAGCTTAAAGTCAATCATCAGCATAAATGTTGCTTAATGTAAACCCTTTTCTCCCATCTGCCCCGGTGACACACACAAACCTCACTCCACCAGTGACACAGACACATGTCTCAAGGCATGTTTGGACCAGCAGGTTCACACACACACACACACACACACACACACACACACACTACTGATGTCATGTCGTCATTGTGTTCCCAAGTCATGCTTTGGGAATAGCTTCAATGCATCTGTGAGAAGCCTTCCTGCTTCCGCTGAGTCACCCAACAACAGACAGACATGGTCACTACATCACTGTCACCATGTCAAATACAGATGTGCACTTTGCACGAAATGTCATTTTCCTTTTTCAAACCAAGGACAGCAGGTGACTTAACTCACTAAATCCAGGAAAACACAACAGTTTTAACCCCACACATTTGGCGTGCTCATCTTTAAGAAGAAGAGTTGGCAGTAGTCTGTGAAAATCAAGCCATCAAGAGAGTTGGCACATATTGGGACAACCTGTTCTGTTCTGTCCCAGGTAGTCAAATCTGATATTAACATGCAAGGTACCCTTTAGCGTCTGTATGAAACATGCAGCGGTCTTTTTGGTTAAACATGTTGCAACATGTGGCTAACATTGTGAAACTGTCGTGCTTAGTTTTAGACAACAAAACTAAATGGTTAGGTTTAGAAAAAACATCATAGTTTGGATTAAAATAAGTATGTTTGTTTCAGGTTTAACGTGATGTTAATATGTGACGTGATGTAACTATGTGAATACATGTAGGCTATTTAATTTATGTAAGGTTAGGTTGAAATATCTCAAAGCAGACTTTTGGTTTCACACACAACACAAACAGCGGTGTCCTGGATAAAATTCCTAAAGTCCAAAACTAAAAAAATCATCATGGTTCTGGGATAAAATAAATGTCTGTTACAGGACTTGGCTACCTAACATATATACTGCTATGTTAAATAACTCAATGTTGACTTTTGGTTTCACCAAAAATATCACTTATAGTCTTGCTATATTTATCTTAGAATAAAAAAAATAATTTTATTCCCTCAATGTCAATTTTTCTCCATGGTATCGAAAATGGTACTGAATATCGATATTTTTCCAGGTATTTTATTAACGTTAGAAATTCAAGAGTCATGACAAAACTACTTAGTACCACAGATGTGGTGACCTGTTTCCATCTTCACCTCTAGTCTTCACAACTGCATTTTGTTTGCACATGCAAGAATGTGAAAACTGGTTTCATCAAAATCAATGTGTGAGGGCTACATGGGTTGCATGTTGGTGTTTATTGACTTGTGGTACTCATTACCTCTTTTCAAACTTATCCCAAATGACACACATCTCAATTGACCAACAGTACTGAAGGTTTAATAATCTTTCATTTGGTTTTGGAATAACTTTAACCTTCCTTCAGATAATATATATCATTGTTCAATCTCAAAGCAGTCATTTTTTTTAATCAAAAATATACTGAGATAAAAAGGGAGGATATGTTTTCTTAACTGACAGACTAATACTTTATTTTCTGTCTCCAGAAGGTACCAGGATGGCTGCAAGAGGTGAAACCACACTCTAGTCTGAGCTGTCATGATTATGGGAACGGTGTTTCATGGTTTGTTTCAGAATGTCAACAAATTTAAACATTACGCAGTGTTGATGTCCAATCAGTGTTGATAGTAATGTAGTCAATTGTAGCAATAATTTCCTCAGTGCCTGCTACATTGACCGAAAAGGCGGAGTTAAGCAGCTACAAAAACTGTTCTTCCTGCATGCCGCCCTGCGTTTGATGTGGCAGTGATGTAGTTGGAAGGATGAAGAGTGACAAGCTATTTCAGCTTGAATAGATGTCGTGCTCTGGATGCCACTCAAAAACAAAACTCCCTTGATCTCTTCACAATCTAGCTATGTGTTTAACAGTGAAAATGGCATCCCAAAATAGGATACTATGGATGACGATACATTCTATAGTGGGTTTATTTTTACAGTGATTTGGCTGACTTGGATATTCAGCCGTATTGACTCATGCCTAGATGCCTATTAGTTGAAGGCTGAGTGGAATTCAATTTTATTGTGAATGGTAAAACCAGAAGGAGTGAAGCTATAATGTGCTGCCACTGACAGCGTAGAAAATAAGAGCGTTGTTGCAGCCTTGGTTCACGGTGGTTCGGATTACGGAGCCTGTGTGGTTTTATTTTATCTTGTGCAACAGCAGGCTACACTATGTTTTGGCCCGGCGTCAGTAGCTTGTGTACAATGTATTCTGGTACATGTGCTGGCATGGCTCCGCAAGCAGGAGAACTAAGCTTCTCCATCTATAATACACACTGAGGAATTTATTGCTTTAACTGACTACATTTACCACTGATGGTTGGATGATTGGACGTTCACATAAAAGTTGGTGAATGTTTCATTTAATGAAGGAAATCTGAACAAAGACGACAAATCTGCATAAGTCAATCATTAAATATGGAATCTTGGAACCCATCAGCTTTCGGCCTGATGACAATACAGCCTCTGGGGGCAATGGCCAATATTTCAGGGGTTCTGGTGATCAGTCAGCAGAGATCCAGGCCAAAACTTCTTCTACTGCGCCAATCATTGTTTAAAGTTAAATTAGCAACTAGAAACAGGTCCAGACAATAATTTCAGCTAATCTCTATAAACAGATATCTGCTTATCAACACAGATAAGTAAATAAAAAACTGAATTGCTGTCAGACGATAGCCAGTGGGTTCTGGATACCATTTTGGCCAATGCATTCTGCCTCTTTTGCTCTCCACATGGATTGTACAAGCAAGTAAAGCCAACTCAAGCATGACTGGTCAATACTACTCGATCTGCAAATGTTTCTGAAACCAAAATCTTGTCCTGTTGCCTATAGATTCTGCTTTCACATGCTGATATTTGTTAAAGATTATTAAACTTATTACACCAAGTCTTTCTCTCTGTGCCCTGCTTTACACACCTTCACCCTGCAGGAGGAACATAATCAGTGAATTTACCTGATGCTGTGCCTGGCTGCATTATGACTGATGGAAGTGAATATAAGTAGCACCAAAGCTACAATTCTTCAAACCTGCTGTGACACAGCTGCAGAGACCTCAGGGACTCAGATTCGCCTATCAGCTCCACAGGATTATCCTTATGCAAGGCAAAGGTGTGAAGGATA